ATCCTCGAAGAGATAATACGGCGTGAACCAGGACTACCGGAAGAAGCTGCAGATTGTGGAACAAAAAAAACAATGTGCCCTCTGTCGCATAGTTTTTGCGGAAATGGTGACACAAGGGAATGAGGATAGAGCGAGCGAGTATCTCGAACGACACCGATAAAGGTACAATCAGACATTAGTTAGCCGGGGCTCACCGGTCTTTTTTTTGCTCCTGAATAGCGTGCGGCTCGAGCAAGTCTTATAGGACAGTGCATAAGTTGGAATGTTCGTGAAAATAATAAATACAATATTAATATAATATTAGTGAGTGAACGGCATGAAACTCTTACAGATTCTCAGTTGTTCTGTTTCTGGACGTAAGGAACAAGGAACGAAGAAAAAGTAACTAACCATAAGGCGTGGATCTACCATGGGCCGTATGCTATCCTCCCCGAAGAGCTTAGGGGGACGGAAATTCCTTTAAATTTTCTCTGTCTTCCCAACTGGGATTGCCCTGATAAGGGCCTACATTTAATGCATGTATGTAGGTAAAAGTAAACATGCACTGAAAATGAAGAAACTATATCGTTCAAACGAATTTGAAAGGAAACTTTGGATCAACTAGCTTCGGGGAAGGATAGCATACGGCCCCATGTTTCCATCTCACCATCAGATAGAGTGGTTCACTTTCATGATTAATCAGAAACTGTACGTCTACTTATATCGGATCACGTCAGAATCAAGCCTGTTTCGAGGAATGGTGACTTACATGCATCTGCAGTAAAGAAACCTTGAACAGATCTGTGATATGAAAATCGAATTTGTCCAGCCATTTGACAAGCCGTTCATGTCGGAAAGATTTTCTCAAAATCCTAGCAAGCAAGTTTCTTGGATGTTCTTCACAATGAACTCCTAAGGGGCCTCTGCTGACGAAACACTTTTGTGATGTGATAATATCAAGAAAGACTCCAGTCGCAATCTCTCTCTCCACTACCTTATCACTGATTGGCAATCACCTCTCAATCTTGCACAGAATTCAGCATCTCTATAAAGTGCACTTTCGACTGAAACATTCAATCAATTAACTTTTGTCATGTGGTGTCAATTCTTTGGACGCTTAAGATGCTAATTCTTCCTCCATACCACGTGACACGAACGCTCATTTCTCACCTAAATGATCCTCTTACGATCTTACAGTTTTTTCTAGTAACTCTCATCTTTTATTACCACGCTCTCTTACATGTACATGTACACTAGTTCCTGTGATTTACTGCACTTGCAGTGGCGCCGTGAACCACAGTTTTTCGCATCTACAACATAGCACATAAGGATATTCACAGAGGTCCTGCACTGCCCAGCTGGCTTCTGTTCCTTTGAACTCCCACTAAAGAAGCTCTGGCTGGGAAGGACAGGATCTCTGCGTATCCTTACATATTACAGGTGGAGTTCTATCAGAAAGTGAGTGGATGCGCTGAAATTTTCACCTAACTGCCATTATTTGGCTATGACCCGAAGGCTTCTAAGCAAATAAGCTATTTGAAGTCAAGAAAAGAAGGGAACATTAGCGGGGTCATCGACTTTCTTCTGGCATCTACTGTTCGTCTCAACAAAGTAATCCATGTGGGCTGGCAAATCAAATCTTCACAAATGACCAACCCTGTGCCTAAGTAATCTTTTTATCGAGATCAGACGTGAAAGTATATTTCATGGCTCGCAATAAGGGCTCGTGTACGGGTAAGGGGGAGGAGTTCACAGTCGCAATACTTTAGTACATTGGCATAAGTCATCCTGTATAAAATAGTGGCATACAATTCATTATCGCGTAACTGCGTCAAAAGTGAATTCAGAAATTTTGCAAACGCAACCAACCTGTAGCAAAACGCAAGTTAAGCTTGATCAATACTCAG